TTCAATTTTTTGATACATTATGCTGATCAGTTCTTGTACTAACTATCAACCAACTTGACTTCTATAAGTATGCTAAATTTTGTTCAAATTCGACTTTGAAGTAATACAGGTTGTTAGGATTTAATGAGAACCCAACAAAATGAAATAAATTGATGTTGTTCTGCTCTAATTATTGTTCTTACTTGACTCAATTTTTTTTATAGGAAACTGCGTGCATAAAAGTTTTTTTTCTTTGTAATAATATACATTACTACACTTTTACAATGTAATTATTACGTAACCATTTTCTAAGATCAATTGCTTAAGATTTTTTTTTCTTTTTTTCTAATCTCAGTCATTTCGTTATACATTTATCACGAAACAAGAACTTATAAAACTGTATCGATCACAATTAAAATCCATTGGATTAATATCATCATCTTCATCTTAATTATATATATATCATTCATTTGAATTATGCTTTGAATAATTGATGAGTTTATTTCTTTTAAAAGAAATCATGTAAATTGTTTTTTGTTTTGTTTTTCTTCCGCACTGTAAAAGCTTTCTCCTGATGTAGTCAAGGTGTTAAGTTGCTATCGACGAACCTTAGGTGGATAATCGTTTTTGATGAGGGTCTGTCTGTTTTCTATAGACATAATTAAATTTTATAAAGTTTTCTAATCTTGTCTTTTTTTCCACTTTGTTTTGTAAGTACAATCATGGAAGTGAAATCATTTAAACATAAACTTTGTATTTTGTTAGTTATATTATCATTTCTTGGATAGAGAGACCCTTTTTAACTTCATATTTGATCCAATTAATTTATGTCTTTGATTAAGATCACTGACTTTTAACTCTTTGATTAATTTTTGTTGGTCTCAATATTTACTTAAACGTCTTTCATCTTAGAAAAGAAAATTAACCTATTCATAAAACTTTTGCTATCAGCTTAACTTTATATTTTTGCTTGTCATTACTTCTGAGTAATGACTAAGTAATCCGAGTATCATCCTTTTATTAGATTAAGTCTTTTGAGAGCAATGATCAATCAGTCTTTATATAATAAACCTCAGTTATTTCTACCTAAAATGCATTTTGTATAAGTAGTATATTAGGCTATTTTTCATATTAATTTAAATACTATAAAAAGGTTAACTATATCTACACTTTTACTAACCTTTGTTGCTATCTCATTATACTATTGTAATGATTAAAATCAATCAACAAATTAAAAAGGTTTTAAAAAAAGATGCAATGATTCAATTTATTTATTTATATGGCGAAATGAGATTTTAGTATTATAGATGATTTCAGTTTGTGATGAAACTTCTAACTCTGAATCCTAACCCTAAATTTCAATTCTGTTTTGATCTTAATTCCTTACACTAATACCATAAACCTCTTTTAACCTTAGTAAATAGGCGAATATTCTCAAGGTCATTGTAGTATCACTTGATAGTCGTATAAAAAATATAATCTCATCAAACAAATTTCTTTTTACAGTGCGTTCTAATTGTGAAAATTCAGAAAAGTGTGTTTTAAATGTTTTTAGTAGTCACTATCTGTCACCCAACTTCAACTGTGTAAGGTTTCTACTAGATTTGGTGCAACTGAAGCAGATGTTAGCAACTATTTTCTCTATCGATTATGTATGAGATGTTTGAATTCCAACCTTTCGTATTTTTCAAGGATAGTGTGAAGGTGATCACAAGAATAATCGAATTTAATTAGAATTGCTAAAATCTCTTCAAGAACTATAACTTCTAACGTCTTCTCTACCGAACTAATTTCCCACAAGACCTTTACCCTCTGATTATTTATCACTTTTTAGTGAGTTAGATTTGCGTACTCTTGAAGGTCATATTTTGATACTATAGCAACGACAGTTGTATCGATCCGGTTTGTATTGCATGGCCTACTTCGAATATCTAGTTCCCTACAATCCGTCTTCTTCCTATGTTATCTATCGAGGTTTTGATGCATTGTGTTTAAATTACAGTTGTCAATTTTGGAAAGAATCGATCGCAATAGAGTGGCTCAATTGTTTCGTCTCTAGAACCGTAAACATCCTGGGCCAATACTGAACCTCAAAAGCAAGATACAACAGATAGATAAGGAGGAAAATATAGTGACAACTTCAGTGTTCAGAGTTTTCTAGTATTCAGTCGGTCAATTATTTATAAACCGTCTTTAGTGACGCGTGGGTTCATACAGCTATCATTGACCATGGAATTCAAAAATACAACGGGAAACTTAATTAGTAAATTCGCAGAATTGGAAAATAGGTTGCTATATGAGTTGAGTAATATCGAGGTTGGAGACTGTTTGATAATGTGGTTAGAAGACTTCCTATTTGGACTCCAATAGAGAGTATGGGCTATCTCAATGAGATGTTGGAAAAGTTTCAAAGGATAGCAACTAAGCTGAGTTCAGTGTGATGCTCGACTGACCTAACTAAACCTATTCTCACTGCCATATCGAAGAACCAGAGGCGACGTAATCATAACTATGTGATATATTAGCGCAATACATTTCGAACAATCTGATCACATAAATACTTGTTAAGAATATTTATATTATTGTTATTATTATTGTCTCCTTTTACCCCTATTTCCAGTCTAGTTGACCTTTTATTTTTATATATAAATGTTCTCAACAAGTATATATGTGATCAAATTGTTTGAAATGTATTGCGCTAATATATCACATAGTTGCGATAATCTTCGCCTTCTAATTACACTATCAAGGCGTAAACATAATTTCTGGATCACTTAGCGATAAATTTGCGTTTGATTTATGAGGACACTTTAAAAATGTTCACAAGCTCAGAACACATTACTTGTCAGCTGACTGTTGACTTTCCCATTGAATCATTAACAAACGGAATTCATTGCCTCAACACGTGGTTTAAGCCCCATCTGTCGATGCATTCAAAAGTTGGATTACCTGAAAGATCACCATTTCCAGGACCAACACAGGTCACTCAACCTCCTGTTTTTTCCCAAAATGAAACTGAAAGATAGTAGTGACAATAGATAAATCTGTCAAAAATATATGTGAGTTGTTCGGTGACCTTGAGGGCTGTTTACCGGCGACACTGCCAAAAGATATTGATGCCAGTGGTGATGAATCATTCCCCCTCTACGTTTTTAGTCGATATTGAAAACCTTATTTTCAGAATAATTTTCGACTAAATATCCACTGAACAGCTTACAGAAGTGTAGTAATTACATCATATGTCTTGTAAATGAAAACGTTTAAGAAATCTTTGAGGTTAATTCACGTATAACTTAGAGGTTAATCAGTTCGAAAAAATACAGATATTTTAATTTTATAACAGATCATCCGATTACTGACAAATTTTAAAAGGGGAGAAAAGAAGAATTACCGTTTGAATATTATTCATCTTACTTCAACACTTTACATTAACTAAGAACAAGCTATAGTTAAAATGAACAAGATGTTTGAAGACAAAGATTTTATATAATTTAGTCATTGAAACTGAGATAAAATCTGGAAATGCGACAGTGATTTAAAGGAATAAAACAAAAGAGAAACTTGATACATTGTAGCTGGAACTGATGTATATTTATGTAGGGGAAATCAATCCATATAAACTAAAGGTTAGGTCGTAAAAAATAGTAATCATAATAAAAGTAAGCCACAAAACAAGTGTAGTAGTAACCATTAATCAAATTCCCAACCGACTGTTTGAATACTAGGTATATGAAGGGAGGTCTGGTGTTTCTAAATCCGATCCCTAACGGGTAGTAGTTAAACAATGGTCAAGAGTCCAATACTATAACGAAGCAATTACTCATATTTTTCAGATTCTCACCAGTTGTTTGAAGGTGGGAAAAATTTCATAATTATGATTGCGAATCGAATAATATTCACAAAACTCTCACACTAACAGCTATAGGCTACTTAGTAACTCATGTTTCCTGATACTTTAAACACGTGTGAAGGTATATTCATTAAAAATAATGGGAATTGAATCCTAGATATTGTTCATTTAAACAATCGGAAACTACATCACAGACATTTAGGTCGTATACGAATTGTAGAAATTGAAGATTTTTAGAATATGAGTGAAAACATGAATGCAATAAGTTTAAAAACGTAAGCAATCACCTTGACTACAGAAGTTCTTTTAGTATATTTTATTAGATTCTGAGGTCAAAAAGGGTATGAGGGAAAATCAAACTTTATAAAGATAAATGGGATTAAAAATTATAAATAATTCTATATTATCAGAAAGGGAATTTGTGGAAATCGTAGTAATTTAAATAGTTGAATGCATTAGTCGATCTAAACTAAACTACCATCGAAAATCTGGAAGCACTGGACGGCCGTGACCACTGGAGTCCAACCCGTGCCGGGAGGAGACAGCTATCCACTTCAGACAATGGATGAAGGGTTGCGCAAGTTCATGGATTGATTGCAGTTAGACATTAACACTGTTGAATGTCGGATCAGTGACTTAGAGGTCAAGTGTTCGCGCGCGAGCTCAAAAGTCCTAGGTTTGTGTCCTGCATGCGGGATCGTGGATGCGCACTGCTGAGGAGTCCCATGCTAGGACGAAACGACCGCTCAGTGCTTCCAGGTTTCCAATGGTGATCTAGCTTAGATTGACTCATAAAATTAGTCACAAACTAACAAGATGATAGATTTATATTTTAGATCAGAAGGGGTTTCGTGGAGAATTTAGTATTTTCATAGTTGAAATCATGAGTCAATTGAAGCTAGACCACCATGGAAAACCCGGAAGCATTGGACGGCCGTTTCGTCCTATTATGGTCGCTCAAAATCGTGAATTGGTTTAAGTTAGACATTAACATCGTTGAATGCCAGCCGGCTCAGTAGTCTAGAGGTTAAGTGCTCTGGCGCGAGACTCGTAGATCCCGGGTTCGAATCTCGCGAGTGCGAGATCGTAGATGCGCACTGCTGAGGAGTCCCATAATAGGACGAAACGGCCGCCCAGTGCGTCCAGGATATCCATGGTGGTCTAGCTTCAATTGACTCATGATTTCAACTATGAATATTTATATATGATAAGCGAATAAGTTACTTCGTTAATTTTATTTGCAGGAAATTATAATTGATAGTATAATCAGTTAAAGAAGCAAACATAACATTTTTGACACTGTGACTGTAATAATCACAACCTTCTCACTTTTAATATGCTTAGACTGCCGGTTAGTAAACTTTAATTTCTGACGTTATATTAAGGTTTACGTTACAAAAAATAAGCTTAGGGATTATGTATTACAGCTAAATTTAAATTTGATTAGTGTTCGGAATGTTAGTCATTACCCATTGGATAAATACTCTGATTTAGTCTCAACCAGATTTGTTTTCATATTCACATCATCAAATTCACTGAGCTTTGTCGATAAATTCTATAATGAATAGATCAATAACTTAAGATTGTTTTAAACAAAATAATGAATTTCTACATTATACAACTGAAATCGTAGTTCAATCGATTATTGCACATAATCAATTATTGATCACTAATTAATTCAAATTCTCCTTATTTTATTCCTACAGTTATTTTTTAAAAAAAAAGCTGTGTTGGTAGCGTTTAATGATATTAAGAAAATGGATGGAAATGATAGAAATTTAAACAGAAGAGCAAGACAACTTGTTCTAGCCACAACATTAATTCGTGATGCATGTGAGACAAGATTAGAAATAAAATTTAAACAAGATCTTTTATCTGTACAATTGTATGAACATTATTATAGTAAATCATATGTCATACTATACTACTTGTTAACTATAATTAATCTTTTAACAATCATATTAGAATATCCAGGAAATATATGGATTAATGGAAAACCTTTACCATATTATATTCCATTAGTCATTAATTTATTATGTGAGTGCTATTTTTATTATAGATGGTATATTATTTATGTTATGTCAGAAAAGAAGACATTAAAATCAAATATTTCATTCATTGCAACAATTACTATCTTATCATTAATGACAATTGATGCCATTATTTATATCATATTTCATGAATTAAATTTTTCTAGTCCTGTAAGATGGTCAAGAGCTCTTAGACCGGTACTATTGTTGACATTTCCAGAAAATAGAAGATTACGTGCGGCATTTTTTAATTTACGACGTACATTAGTCGATGTATTGCCTGTATTTGGTTTGTTTGGTGCATGTTTAATATTTATTTCAATTGTTAGTTTAACATTATTAGGTGATATGAAATTGACATATCCTAATGGTAATAAATATCTATATGATTTTATTGATGTATTATGGGAATTTTATGTTTTAACAACAACAGCCAATTCTCCTGATGTTATACTACCAGCATATGAATATAATCATTATTTTATCATAATTTATTTATTTATTTGTACAATATGTAATTGGTTATTTATGGGTATATTAACAGCATCTGTGTATAATTCATATAAATCACATTTAGGTGAATTTGTAATTAAAACAATTGTAAAACGTAAAGAAAAATTAGATGAAGCATTCAATTTAATATCGACTTTAACTCCAGATGGTCAATTAGGTGTTAGTCATAATACATTTTTACATTTAATGCATATTGTTCATCCAAAACATAGTAAAGATTCATTAAAAGTTATTTTTCATGTATTAGATAAAAATAAATCTGGTTATTTATTAAAACATGAATTTGAACGTTTATCTGAATATATGCAAGCCAAATTTGAAGAGATTGAATTAAGTCGAACCTATTTTAATACATATATCTCAAAATTTTATCATATTTATACATCAAGTAAATTTCAACTGTTTGTTTATTATATGAATCATAATATTACAAAATTAATGTTTACAATACTCATTGTTGCTAACGCTATATGTGTTGTTATATTTCAATCTTATCCAAAATGTTTAGAAATAATTGAATGGATATTTACCATGTTATTTATCAGTGAATTAATTATTAATTATTTAATATGTGGTGGTGTCAAATTTTTTAATGATGGTTGGAATTTATTTGATTTTATAATTATATTTAGTGCATTTATTGGACAAATTATTCAACTTCTATTTTATTCTATGGATATTTATTTACCACATGGTATGATACAAATATTTTTATTATTAAGATTATTTCGTTTATTAAAATTATTTAGTGTCATCAAACAATTTCGCATAGTAATTAATTGTATTCTAACTATACTACCATCATTAACTGCTTATACAACTATATTATTAATATTATTTTATATATTTTCATGTATTGCTATGGAATTATTTGCTTTTATTTATCAACCACCATTAAATTATAATTATACATTAAATACAACATGTAATAATAAATATTTACTTCATAGTGAATTTGTTCAATGGCATTATTGTACATTTAATTTTAATAGTCCTTTTGATTCATTCTTATTATTATTCATTATTACAGTTGGTAATAATTGGCATATATTTACTCATGGTTATGTAATAGTTACAACAAGATGGAGTAAATTATTTTTTATTATTATACATTGGATATGTGTTTTACTTGTATTAAATGTTGTGCTAGCTTTTATTATTGAAGCATTTTTAATTGAATATGATTCACAACAAAGTAAATTTGAATTATATATAAATGAACGATTAAATGATTTAGAAATGAATGCTGAAAATGAATTAAAAAAACGTGGATTGGAAAATTTTCGTAAATCTGGATTTATAATATCTAAAAAATTATTAGATGAAGCTGGTATAACTGAACAAAATACACAGAAAGTATTCTATTTAAAAACAGATAATGCATCTATTGAAATATTAATGTTTAGAATGTTTGAAAAAGAAATTGAAGAATTAGTTGAAGATTTAACAAATAAATTAACAGCGCCTAAACTTAAAGCACATGATCCATTTTCACATCTATAGTTTATTAACATTGACGGTTGAAAAAAACAAACCATACAACCATCAGAAATTAGTATGAAAAGTAAAGATGGAAGCAAGTTGTATCTTCATATCCAGCAAAAAAAAACAATAGTAAATTTAAGGATTCATTACTTTTGTTATAGTTTGGTAATGTAAGATAATAAGTATGTTGAAAGTTCAATTGGAGACATTTGTAGAATAATTGCAATATTTCATTTCTTCAGAGTTGATAATTTTACTTAAAAACTAAATTGAAGTTTTCTAAGAATGATTTTAATGTTTACAGGTATTAGAAAAAAACATCTAAACTCGAAATTTATGTTAACTTAAAACTCATATATTATAAGACTCAAAACAATTTCCTTAGAACGTTAATGTTAATACTTATTAAATATGTAATTAATACTTCACAGTTTATACAGATTCTATGTTTATTCATTTGCGTTTAAATAGCTCCATGTATTAATGAAATATTTGGTTAACAATATTCATTTTAAAATATTCTGTACGATGAAATATGTGAAACATATGTTGAGACGGTCATTGAATGTTGTTTTTGATTGAATGTGATGTATTTATTTAAAATAAATTTTACCATGTTATAAAAAAATAATTCATTACACCCAACCTTAAAAACATTGATGTTATTTCCGAACCTTTTACGTCTGCTGTCATGAATGATGACGAACCATGAAAGCAAAGTTATATTACGGGGAATGAAACGTCTTAGCAACCAGGAGTAAGATCGTTAGATTTATCAAACTTGCCATCTTATTCAGCAGTAGAATATATAACTGCTTAAATTTATTTACTAACTTATTATACCTTGACGTTATTCCCATCTTCTTATCTTCCAAAAAGCATTAAATCGTAAACTCAAGAACCATAAAAAGAGATTATTCTCTTTCTCAGACCAATACTTCACTGCTTTAAATGCAAGATGTAACTGTGAAAATATAATACGTTTTCTTTTATGTATTTCTGTAATGTCAGAAGGCTTTTGAAAACAAATAGACGGAATCTTCTGAGATACACTATGAAAGCTGAGTTTATGTAAATAGAAGAACGTTGTAATATGATTTAAACTCCCAATCTACATACAAAGCTACAGGTAGTTACTAGAAATCAGTGAAAAATATTTATCTCAATCGAAGTAACCAATGTCGTGGGGAGTCATAAACAACGACCGTCCAGTGTTTCCAGGTTTTCCATGGTGGTCCAGCTTCAATTGACTCACGCTTTCAACTATGAAACACACTAAATCTCCAAAAAACCCCTTCTAAATATAAATGAGTCAATTGAAGCTAGACCACCATGGAAAACCTGGAAGCACTGGACGGCCGTTTCGTCCTATGCTCACTAGTGACTGGCTTCAAGAGGTGATCAGTGAAGTTCAACCAGGTCTGTTGTGAGACAGTCACTCACTGAAGACATTTATGGATGCGTCGCTGAATTTAGTGGATCGGTTGAAGTTAGACATTAACACCGTTAGATGCCGGTCGGCTGAGTGGACCAGAGTTTAAGCGTTCGCGCGCGAGAATGATAGGTCTTGGGTTCGAACCTCGCGAGGAGGGATCGTGGATGAACACTGCTGAGGAGTCCCACAATAGGACTAAACGGCCGTCCAGTGCTTCCAGGTTTTCCATGGTGGTCTAGCTTCAATTGATTCATGATCTCAACTATTAAAATTACTATAATATCCACAAAACCACTTCTGAAATTATAAATGAATTCATTATCTAGAATGAAACTAAAATAGTCAAATAAATAAGATCATTTGAAGACTATCACCTACTTGTACTACGTTTCCACATGGTACAGAAGCTTAACTATAAAAATGCTATGAGAACTAGCGAATAGTTCATAGTTTAAAAGGTTAGTAGTAAATATACGAAATTAATCGACAAAATGTGAGTTCCCAGTCTGTTAGGAATGACATTTCTATGACCTGTATTTAACTGAATAATGTCTTTTATTCCAGGTTTGATGAAACAATATCTAAGAAAACTGTTACACCTACTACTAAATTGTCACGGATATACAAATTTAGTAGAAAACATCTAATATTCGTCGTTTAACAACGAGATATATTTATCTGTGGGACGAAACTGAGAAAATTGTCCAACTTAATGAAGTGATAAGTTACTCAAGTAAAAGAAGGAAAACTCTGGATGAAAACCAACTAAATAAAAAATATTTAACTGTATTTTTTTATTGTATCTACTGGAAAGGATAGGTAAACTTATGTTATAACCATAGATATCGGTTTTGATGAAAGTATGAACAATATGTAATAGATATCGTAAATTTAGTAAAATTAACATTCAAGTCAAAATGTACAAATGTAAAGCTCCAGATATGGAAAATCAACAAAGTTTGAAGGTTTCTCCAAAAAATTACAATTGCATATACAGTTTAAAGCAAATGTAAATCCATTATTCATTAAAATACTATCAAATTAAATGATAAAATTAGCTGATACATTAATGGATATGATCCAATTGTAAAAGAAGAATGTTCACAACTTTAAACACCATTCTTTCATTTATTCTCCAGAAGAGTAAGACGTTGTTCCAAAAGTGAAACGGTCTATGGAGAAATGAAGAAAAGAACTACTATTGCTTTTGGTTTTACATTGCCTCAAATAAAAATTTACGCACTATAAACAATGATTTCGGAGAAACTCAGTGTAATAAATTTACAAACACGTAAAATATAAATATGAAGTAAGGATTCAACGGATGTCGAATTACAAACAATTGGTAAAAATTCAACTTAGTATTGTTTTGTTTTGGTAAAAAGACCGAAGTGAATGATTTCTGTGAGTTTAAAGGTTCAATATATTGATGAGTATCCATAAATACACAATTTAGGCTCAAATTTTCTCGACTTATAAACATTAAAGACGGTAGATCAACAGTAATGCTGAGTCACACACTAGATTATTCACGGATAACCGACATTTCTATTATTTTATGATCGATACAATTCTACTTTTGTTGTTTCTCATAAACAGATATCTATCACAAGTTGTATGTGAATGAAGATCAGTTTTCAAAAACAGCATTCACACATTAGGTATTTTCATATAAGTCAACGTGTAGTATGTTAGCTACAATTCACATAAAAATCGTTGGTGGAGAGTAATAAGTCGGAAAATCTGTTATTAACGTGTCTATAAAACTATTAGATTATAGGTCTTTTATATTTCATTATATGTTAACGGTTTATTTAGGCAGTACTGAAATAGCTTAAGGGTTCAAAGGACAGAATTCCTACAGTTGAAGAACATATGGAATTCAAAACAACTGTCAATCAAGTCAGAATCTTCAATACGAATGTCAAGACAGTTCTATTTTACGGAGCTGGAACTTGGAGAACTACTACAACCATCATCAAAAAGTAGAAGTATTTATAAACGATTGTCTACGTAAGATACTCAATGTCCATTGACCGGATACCATCAGGAACAGACTACTGTGGGAGAGGACAAATCAGATTTAAACTGAAGAGGAAATAAGGGAAACATATTGGAGGTGGATAGAACATACATCACGGAAATCATCAAACTGCATCGCGAAGCAAGCGCTAACTTGGAATCCCTAAGGGAAACAGAAAAAGGAAGGCCGGAAAACACGCTGCGCCGAGAATTACAAGCAGACATCAAAATGATGGATAGCAACTGGAAAGAGTTGCCTAGTACAGATTTCGATGGCGAATGCTGGTGAGCGGTCTATGCTTCTCCACGAGGAGTAGCAGGCGTAAGGAAGTTGAGGATTCAAAGAAACCTTATAAATGGTCAATCCAACGACTTATACTTGCCATTACAACTACCTTATGATGGTGAAGCACATCGATGACAGTATATCAATCGAGAATGCATTTTAGATAATCGACTAAATATCAGTTACGATGATTAGAAATTACGGACTGAGTATTTGTCATTAAACAAGAATAATACTAAAATATATTGAAAATACATAAGCAATTTTCACACAGAATAATCTGTCGTAACGGAAAATCATCGGCATCGATAACCTTTCTCATAAGTTTTATTTGAAGACTGCATATACTCAACCACAGTGGTTTTCACACTACTCATTATTTGCAGATCCTGAAACTAGATGGAACGGAAGAGAGGTGGTCAGTTTATGACGTGTCATTGTAGTATAGGTGGCAAGCAGAATTGATGCCTGTTGGTCCATCACGATCCTACAGATCATGCAACTCAATGAATTGAGATGTTATCACATATTGTTCAAAACAGAAGCCGGTGACAATCCTGTTTTGGTATTTTACTACATCTTTTATAAAGGTTTTGGTCGGTACTCAAATAAAACATCCTCTGAGTAAAAGGTAACATACGATAACAATTCTGAAAAAATACAGTGAGTCGTTGAGTACTATCCTCAATAAACTAAGTTATAAGTACAGGATGAAACCTCTCCAACTTAAGCAGTATATGCCTGACATTTAACAAGGTCAGGTGCGTAAGATAGGCGCTAATCAACCTGGCTTTTGCTATATTGATAGAACCTTTCTCAGTCGCGCACCCGGTAACACACATACAGCTATCTAGATTTACTAAATTTTTAACTATTAGGAAAAGTACTTGGGACTTCATTTATACAAGGTATAAATGAAATTGCGAATTTCGATGGCAACGTATGTAAGGCGTACAATCCTTAGCAGGAAAATTCCTTAGTTTTATAGGTAACTGGTTCCTCTCCTTGAAATCATGGAATAGCAACGACATACAAATCATTATCGCTTACTGAACAATACTTTACGACTGAAAAACAAGACAATTTATTAAAAGCACTTTGAAAAATTGATAGTACCTGAGTTAGAATATCTAGTTGTGAAACAATATGTTCAAGTGTCGTAGATAATGATGGTGGGACATTTTGGCGTTCACTTTCTAGACCGCCTGCTGTTTTTGAATTCTATATACAAATGGAAAAAATATACGTTACAATTTACTCGGTAATTTATAAATTGTGGTTTAAATAATTACTAATGTTCGAATTATGTTAAAAATTAAGATTTAATTAGAATAAGAGGCAAGTAGTCACTGTATTGTTGAACACTAACAGTATTCAGACGAGCCTAGTGATCCAGGGAAATTATTGTTTTAAAAAATGAAAAAAAGTTAAGTTGGTGAAGATAAACATATTCACTTATCTACTCTTTACTGAACGATAATCATGATGTATTGTTTGATTTCTTTCATCAATATTTTTCTAATAGTCGTTTGAAATACAGTTTTCTGGGTGTTGACGAATAACTATTTCCCATCGGAGTTCATGATAACAAGCACAACACATTATGTTCTCACTTCTACAGCTTTCTTAATTAAATTACCAACTGTTTATATTTGTTGATTTCTAAAAGACGAAAAATAGCCATACAAACTTCTCCAGATGTAAAAGTGTAATAAAACAAAAAACATACGATTTGATATATACTTTCTAATTGAAGTATATTCTTTAATAATTATTGGTTATTGAATAATCACTCGCTGGTATAATTATTTCTCACTGAAGGTAGTGTATAGATGTTTACGAACACCATGAATCGTGTTGTGAGATTGACTTTCAAATTATGCGCCCAACTACCATCTACTTCCAATAAAAAATGTTATCAGCCAGCTTGTTCTAAAGTAAGAGATGAGATCAATTCACGTATGGTGTCGGCCAATCTGGGCCATCTTTGGTGCATACATTATGTTATTCTGACCGTAAAATGTCGAACCTACAACGTGTCGGTGAGAGCAGTTTTGCTCTATTCCTGTGAAGCCTGGCCTCCGAGTTGAGGATGTTAGACGACTCTCTATTTTTGATCACTGTTTTCTCGAAGGATTTCTGACATCCAGTCGCAAAACCATGTTAATAATGTACAGGTTCGGCACCGTGTGTTTGGACACAGAGACAATAATTCAACTGGTGTCACCATCTTGAAACATCGACTTCGGTGGGTTGGATATGTACTACGAATGTCGTCCCACAGCATTCCACATTGTGCATTATTTGCCGGCGCTGGGACTGGTTGGAAAAGGTGGGGAGGTGGTCAGTGTATGACATGGTGTCGTGGTATGGAAGGAAGCTGTATAGGACAGGCCTCTACTGGTCCTTTACGACTCCTTGGTTGGGTTCATAGAGATGGTGTAACACAGTGGCTAGAGACGTCATCAGACGTGGCTCAG